AGTAAATTTCGTCAAAATGGTAGTCTCTCTTTATATTCATTGTGTAGTTATTTTCGCTGCTGTTAAAAGCAAATGATTTAGAAATTTATCAAAGTCGTTCAAATACTTATAATCTAAAAAGCTTTTTAACACTAAATACAATTTTCATATTTTTTACAGTTCTTCCGTCGGACCCGTCAATAGTTCCGAAACCCAGAGTCCAACTGGATTTCTTTGGTTAGTAGGATCCGATAGGATCCGTCGTCGGATTAGTCGACCTGGGTAGCTCAAAATGTATTTGATATAACGACGAGCGAAAAGGAAAAACGAATGAAGTTTTCAAAAAGTGGTAGTATTACTTTTACAACAAGCAAAGGCTTCGGGAAAAAAATTCGAATTGGTTGAAAAGCGATTGAACGTTTTAGAAAAAAGATTCGACGAGCAAGATGGAAAATTGAATGCATTACGTACAGATCTAAAAATAAATGTTACAGAAGGAAAATCTACCCACGAAGACGAATCGGCATCATCTTTCAATGGAAGCAATCATCTATTCGACAACATTTTCAAATTTAGCATATTAGTGCTTATCACTTCCACCCAGGTGGAGGAAAACGGCATAAAAACTATTGTAAAACGTTAAAAAACAGCACCGTTTTCCGTCAGCTTGGAAAACGAAGAGAATAGTGTTTAAAACGATGGCCATTTTATAGCCATTTCAGGGCGTTTCCGATGGTCTTTAAGACGGCCGGGATGATTCTCCTGGGCATCGTTGTATTAATTGTTAATCGAAAATGACTTGATGAATATTCTCGTTTTTTTCGGATTACTGTTTTCTTATTTTTTTACTCCTAAACATGATGTCAGAATTTGAACTTGTAGAAATAAAATGCTTTTTTAATTTGTATTAACAGCAGTACAAAATATAACGCACAACATTTACATTTGAATCTAAAAAAAACAGTCTGAGATGGGATGTGAGTGTTATTGAAGGGAAAATACACTCATATCCAAGTTGGGTGTGAGTGTGGGTGTGTGACTGTATTTAAGAGTAATGCCCACACCCACATCCTCATCCGTGTGAGAGATTTCAACAATTGTCTTTATTTACTTAATGGGCGTTTTATTCAACTTCGTACATTTTATGTTAATATTTCTTCGATTTACAAGTTACCCTTCTGAACCAATAATAAGGTAGACTAATTTTGATTTTTATCTAATTTATCCAAATGATAAAATGAGATTTGTTCTCTTTTCTAGGAAAATCTACCTAATTTAAAATGCTTTTCACTATATTTCGAAAACATGATATATGATTATGATGAATTAATTGTTATACTTCTAAATCGAATTATGAATTTAGAATAACTTGGTTTATAACTTATAGTTAGTATCAAGAACATATTTGTTGATGGTAATGATTTGAAAAAAAATATTATCAACAAAATGTCACTATTAAATAAATTTCACTTTAACATTCGTTCAACTATTGCTCTTTATAATCAAATTAATTTACAGTCAAATGAAGATATTCAGTATAGTTACATTCAAAGATTTTCTTCATAATCATATTCTTTTTTTGTGTTGATTATTTTTTCAGAGACTCGACAATATCAATCTCATATTTATTCATATTTTTGAACATGAATTTTTCCTTCGAATTGCTCAATCATTTCCATTAGTAAAAGCTTTAACTTTAGTTAATATGAAACCTCAAAATGGTAAACAAACTGATGACAATCAAAACTTACCAATCATTGAATATGCTCATCTTACCACGCTTGATCTTACTAAATCTCATTTAGATTATATCGAGCAATTTCTACTTGATACAAAAACGACTTTGCCAAGTAATGTTCACCTTTCTGTCGTTTATCAAGCACTAAGAAAAGTAACACAAAACTTAAAAGTAATGCTACACGAATCAATTGTTCAAAATTGAGTTGTTTAGATATTGTTGGTCAACATCGAATTCCTAAATATGTACAAGAATATTTTCCTCATACAGAAATATCCATTTGTTAATTTTTATCAAATATTATTTAAATAAAATGTGTTCAAAACGAAATCATTATGAAATGAAGAAGAATAATACTTTTAAAAATCTAAATCGATAGGAAAGAAAATATGCATTGTTATAGTCAAGAAGAATTATTTGAATCCAATATTCCTTAACTCCATCGATTAATTCAATAGATAATATTTCATTTACATTTTGTCCATTCATCTTCTATATTATACTTCATTCATCTTTCGTAACAATTGAGTAAGATTTTTATTTTTTATTTTTATGATGTTCGAAATTCCAATTTACAGAGAAATTAAAAGAAAATGATACTCAGATAAAAACTGTATATTTCGCGAATTCAATTATTGAAAAAAATTTCATTGAATTTTTAATATAATTCAATTTTATTTTTTTCAGATGTCAAAAAATAGGATTTAAAAGAAAAAAAATTCAATTTCAATCTAAGTCTAATACAACAAACACTAAAGCTGTGGGTTTGTCGCTTATCTACTTTGCAGATAATCAATTAATTCAATAATTCATGTGATTTCGATAATTTATGAAGTTTTATGATAACTTTTATCACTTCTAATAAGATATCGATATTGCATTCGTATGTGCTGCCGTATATTATATCATTTACTGAAAATAATTCATCGAGTGAATTAAAATATCACCAATTTTATTTCAAATTCGAATATAGCCAACAGTTCAAAGAAAATTCATTTTGAACAATTTTATCGATATTATTAACTTTCGACATAGACTTTTATTCGAGAGTTTTTCAAATATTATCTCAGATTAATTTATTCTAGTCTTACTGCTCAAAATTAACAGATTAAACTGAAACATGCAACTCGATAGTTTGAAAATATTCTTATTTTATTAAAATATAGTCTTAATTAGACAGTTTTTAGAGATTGTCTTTACTCATATCGATAGAAAAACTTTGAATAGTATTACATTATTCGAGTATGAAAAACAAATCAAATAATTAATATTAATTTTAATTTTTTCTTTCAGAGGAAAACGTTTTCTCTCAAATGAATCATTATCGAAAAAAAAGGAATTTTCTTGAAGTTTTTTTCTGAATACGCTGAATTTATTACATCCGTTGCTGATTATAGATTATTTCTGGAACTCTGCTATTGTTCAATAAATAAATAAATATATATATATGTATTTAGAAGCCATTTCACGTAAGTCACCATCGGAACGGGCTCGAACGAGTGTCGTCAGATTTTGTTCAATTTAGAATCTTCTTGTCGAGTGAAGAATTTTATGCACCTTGATACACACCGTTTTGAACAGCATTAAACTGTTGAATTTTTATCGCTGTTTCACAAAAATCATCTGGATTCAGAGGGTCTTGACAACGCCATATCTCCAGAGTGACATTATCGATTGAGCTGAAATTTTGTAAGGACATAGATTTTCATGACTTATAAGTAATATGAAATTTTCAGCTCAAAATATTGTATCACTAATTTTTATGGTTCATTCGATATCAGAATAATAATCACACTTTAGGTAACTTTGGTGCTTTAGAGTTAATGATAGGAATGGCATAACATATGGAATTTCCACTATCGATAAACAGCTTACCGATGAATATCTTTGAAAAATATGCAACATTTCATAGGCTGTCCTACCATAATATTCTCCCTACAGTCGTCCAGTGGCCATCGTTTTTTCGACTTGGAAATAGTACCATTTTGTAGAACTTTTCAAGCTCTATGAATTGAGATAGTTTTTCAAGCTTTTAGAAGATTTTTTTCTTAGCTATAGTAGGCGATGTCATTTTTAGATATCTATATAAGTGACCTATTAAGTCATGCTGTATATTTGATGTATGAAATGTTTATAGAACCCTTTATTTTCTAAGTAGAAATAATCAGCGCATTTTTTCAATATGTTCAAAGGCGAAAATAAAATGGGCCGATTTGGCTTCTTATGCGCCCCCCCCCCCTCCTTTAACTTTTTACATGTTAGTGCAATGGTGTTTTGACGAAACACAGAAGCGAGTACTACTTTGAGTACTCAGACTATCGTATACGAGTGAATTTCAGAAAGTTAACTTATGCGAGTACTCCAACAAGTTTTTTGTGTACTCATGCTGGCAGGTCGTACTCGCTTGACGAGTAGTTTCACTAGGGTACACACACTGTAGAAAAAAAGGTTCTTTCCGTGAGCACACAGGAAGAACCTTTTAAGGGTGTTCGTTTTCTTAAATCAATTCAAAAATAAATCAACCTATCATCTGTTAACGAAATTGCAGATTCAATCTGCTAGTCTGAACTCTTGTTTTTCAACGATCGGCTTGATGGTATGAGTGTCAATCTTCTCTGACAGCATTCATTCATACACCCACACCCGTCTCTTAATTCTAAATTAAATCTAAGAAATCAAGACGAATTGCAAATCGTATCGAATTACTTTTCTATATATTGAAACTCTCTATTGTTGGTAAAAGACTCAAAAAGTTAGTCATTAACGTGACAGACGATTATCTTCAATGAAATTGACTTCGATGTATTGTATAGATCGCGATGAGTACAAGCATTAACCCATCAGTATAGCGTTAGGATGTAGCGATCGTAATATGTTTGCCTAATAAAGATCATTCCCAAGAATTTTATTAATTACAATTTTTGGCATGATCCAATAAAAAAGCCTGTTACGAGCTGTGAGACAGAAGTTTGATTTCATTTTTCTGAGTATATCTTCAGCAGTCATTTGCAACAATCAATGATTTAACTTCCATCTGTTGTAATTCTTATCGTTGATTATATTGTAAATGCAACGCCCTTATCAGTGTTACGAAAAGCATTTATGTCTCATTCATCTACCAAGCACAATTATCTGTATATTGCTGAAAATTAAGAACTGAGATTAACAGATTGATGATATATATGACAAAAAATGTAAAACTAATAAATTAGGAAACCAACACAAAAAGCATGAAAAGCAGAAGACTACGATATAACAATAAAGAAAAATAGAGTTTAAAAAAAACTCGAAGAACGATGCAAAACATGTAGTTGTCACCTTTAGTATGGCCATATATATATGTTGACTACCAAAGCACGTTTTTTTTTCTTTTTCTTTCTTCTCTTTCCGTGCGCATGTTTGCTTCTAGCATGAACCACAACTTTATACCACATGATTGTTCAAGGTAAAATATAAATTATGACACTTTTACTATACTTGTTATTTTTTTAGATAAAAATGAAATGGATTATTGCAACTTTATTTTTTATTCTTCCAATCATATACATAACATTTTATATGTACGAATATCATAAATATTTATGTAAATCGAATTATGATTACCCGTTTCAAGATCCAACATTACCTACTGATATCAGATTAGACAATCTGATGTCACTGTTAACTCCAGAAGAAAAGGTAATAACAATTAAATTTATTATTACTATTTATTTTTATTTACTTTTGCAGATCAATATGTTATGGATGGATGAAGCAACACCAGGTATGATTCTTTAGATCTCGATTATTAAATGTAAAAATAATGAAAATATTTCCGCTTGTCTTTTCTAGATGGAGAGTCACCTAATTTAGCTGTTCCACGTTTAAATATTCGTGGATATTCTTGGATGGGACAAGGATATGTTTATCGATCAGCATCAAATGGTTGCAATATTAATTGTTATAGTCATGTCATTGATGGAAATGTTTCTGTATTACCACAGGGTACAGGTATTGCTTCCACATGGAATAAAAATTTAATTTTTCAATCGGGTATTATGGTGAGCGATGAATCGATGGCAATACATTATAATTATAAAAATAGAAGTGTTGATTACAAAACTGGTGCATCAAGTGTTATTAATATTGCGCGAGATCCACGATGGGGAAGAGTGCCAGAAACTTATGGTAAATAATAATTTTTTACTATTGAAATTTACTATTTTCTTCTACGATAAGGCGAGTGTCCAATATTAACTGGTGAAATAGCAGTAGCTTTCAATAAAGGTATTATGGGTTATGCACAACTAGAAGATACACAATTAGAATATGGAATTTATAAAGTTTCACCTATTATGAGGTACAGTTTTGGGAATATAAAAAAATATTTTTTTCAACCATTAGTTTATTTTGAAGACATTTTATTGATTATGACGGTCCCGATAATGGTAGATTTAGTTTTAATGCAATTATTTCCGATGCTGATATAAGGTAAATAATTCATTTGTGCCATTGTCTAATTTCGGTTCTTATCTTTTGTTTTAGAACAACATATTTACCTGTATGGAAAAAACTTATTGACGAAAAAGCAATTGTTGGAATCATGAGTGGAATAAGTGCAGTCAATGGTATACCATCAGCGGCCAATAAGTACTTATTAAATGATGTACTACGTAATGAATGGGATTTTACTGGCTATGTGATTAGTAAAGTTTATTTTTCTGTTTGAATGATTTTCACTGTTTTTTATTCATCAGGTGATTGTGATCCCGTAGGTGATATACAGAGATCATTTCATTATACAGCAACACTTGAACAAGCTGTTGCCATATCTGTAGCATCTGGTAATGATATTAATTGTGGTCCTGAATTTAAATTATTACATGAAGCAATTGCACATGGTTTTGTGAATTTGGATATAATTAATTCTGCTATAAGTCGAGGTTTACGTTCAAGATTTGTCAGTGGTAATTTTGATCCGATTGGCACGGATCCCTATTCTTCCATACCCTATTCAGTTGTTGATAGTTTAGAACATAAATTATTAACAAAACAAGTCGTTAGCGAATCCATTGTTTTATTACAAAATCCAAAAGAAATATTACCATTCGATATAACAAAAATAAAACAAATTGCAGTTATTGGTCCATCGTCCGATGACATAAGTGTTCAAGCACATACATATCATGGTACGCCAAGTAAATGGATAACAACATTAGATGGTATACAATCAATGGCATTAAAATATAATGTCAGTGTTGTTCATACATGGGGCGCATCAAGAAGAAATACTAGCGACGAAGATTTTGCACATGCTCTAGCATTATCCGATGAAAGCGATATCATTTTATTTGTTGGTGGTTTAGATGAAAGTTTCGAAGAAGAAGATACTGATCGAAATACATTAGAATTACCTGGCGGACAATTCGAATTAATCAGATTAATAATGAAATTAAATAAACCATTTGCTATATTAATTATATCTGGTTCGCCTATATCGGAACCATTTATTGTTAGTGAAAATCAAGCCGCTCTATTGTGGATATCCTATTTTGGACAAAGCGGTGATGCTATTGCTGAAATGTTATTTGGCTTGACGGTTCCAAGTGGTTGTTTACCATTTACAATACCAATGGATACAAGTCAAATGTTACCAATCGATGATTATTCAATGAATAAATCGCCGGGCAGAACATACCGGTATTTAGACTATAATAAAGCACCACCGTTATTTCCATTTGGCTTCGGTTTATCGTATTCAAAATTTGCATTTAATTCAAAATTGATAATTTTTCCTAATAAAATAAATAATCTCGATATTGATATTACAGCAAATATCAGTATCATCAATGAGGGCCCATTTCGTGCACAATTCGTTTTACAATTATATTATGAATTTCCAAATTCAACAGTAATCGAATTACCGATACGTGAATTATTACAGTTTACTAAAATAACATTGGAAAACAATGAGCAAACAACTAGTTCATTTACATTTCGCGTTAGAACTATTCCAAATTCAAATCGACAACAAATACCAGGAATTATTAATTTTTGGATTGGCAATAGTCGTGACAGATATGCACAAGCAACACTTGTGGTTGACTTTGATTCATAATTTATTTTCTCGCTAAGTGCACACCACGGTTTAAGAAGCTACAATAGCGTATACAATACATTAGTAATTCATAAAATTTCTTGTGATATCTAAAGTGCTTAATTTATTAAAGTTTTCTTTTTGAACCAACAAAAAAAAAGAGAAAGAAAAAAAAAAGAAAAGAAAAAAGTATTTGAATCACCACTGCGTGGCTAGACATGTTGCTTGATTCCAATGAAAATTATTTTCATTGCTGATTGGTAATGTTGATTGGTCATCTTCTTTATTATTGTGATGATGATCAATATCATTCAATGTTGTTGTACCATGTTGCATACTACTAACAAAATCATAATGTTTTTCAATGATTCCATTTGTTACTGATATTGGCATAGCTGTTAAATCAGTATAATGAGGTGTATTATTACTACTATTATTTGTTGTTATTATTGGATTATTAGTATTATTAGTATTTAAATTGTGTAATAAATTTTCATTGGCTATTGATGACATGGATGATTGATCAATATTTGAATGTTCAACATCATTTGATGATTGTGTATAATATGATGAATAGAGTTCAGATTCAATGGCTGGCCGAAGCAGACCATATTGTTGTTGATCTCCAAAATTATTGTTTGAATCATATGTATTATATGTTTGTTGATTGTCGAAATGATGTTGTTGATGATTGGAAAAATGAATTTGTGAATCAGGATTATAAACATGAGATGTATCTTGGGAATAGTTATTAATATAATGATAATTATTGAATTGTTGAGGGGGCGGTGGTGGCGGTGGTTGAGGTTGAGGAGGGGTGCAATATTGTTGTTGAAGTGGATGATGATGATGGTGATGGTGATGATTGTAAGGTGGAACATGATGATGATGATGATGATGTGATGGTGGTAAGAAATTATTATTGTCACTCATCATAGGTCCGCCAATGCCTGGATTATTGTATTGTTTTTGTTGATGTTGAATTGATGATGAGATTTGCATTGAATTTGGATCGAATGATAATGTATTTTGTCCAAGAATATGATGCATATTAGGAGTCTAGAATGATGATTTTTTCTTATAGATTAGGTTAATTCAAAGATTGCAGGAAATTTACTTGATGTGAAACTTGAACAGCTCGATAGGCTGCTAACTGTTTAAGATATTCTTTTTTAGCTGCAGCTGCTTTACGCTTATATTGCTACAAGAAAATAATAATAATAATAATAATCAATCAATCAGATAATTTTATATGATAACTTACTTCTTTTACTTCTGGTTCGATATTTTCCCACATGTGAGCAACAACTTTTGAGATTTCTCTAAAAAAAAAAGAAAATTTTTTGTTTCTAATAATTAAGTTTCAAAAATATTCAAATTATTGATCTCACCCAAATGATGGATTTGCTAATTTCTTTTTGATATCATTCTGTGTATCACGAAAGAAAAGTGCATAAGGAGAAACCGGCCTAATAAAATAATGATTGTAAAATCATGTATGAAACAGTTTTTCTTTTTGTTTATTTACTTTTGAGGTTCATTAGGATCTTTACGTTTCTTTTTCGGTTGCTTTTTTTTCTTAACGATTTTAGCAGCTACAGTTACATTCTAGAGAAAATAAAAATTCATGACGTAATTAACTGAATAAAACTTATCGCTGAACTGAGACTTACTACTCCTCTGTTGAGAGATGGCGGTGGTGTTGATGTTTCGTCTGCATCACTTGTTGACGATTGTTGAGGCGAAAGAGAAGGATTCTCCTGTTGATATTGTAAATGGTGATGCATTGGATGTTGATGAAGATGAGTCGATTGCCCATACAACTCTAAATATGAGCGGAGAAAATAAAACAGATTGTATTAGATTATAAAGTGTAAGATTTATAGTAAGAAGAGAAAAATTCGCGATTCAATGATAATCATCGATGACTGTGCTCACGAGAAAGATGACAAATATGGGTCGATAATTGATCTCACATTATACTATAGTTAAAACTGAACTATTATGAAAACTACCAGCTAGTCTTTTCATCGTTCAGTCTCTAATATGATTTTAATCGAACAAAACAAAATCTACCTGTATCATGTTGAGGTAATGCATTGTCATTTGCATATATATGTTGCATTCTATGACGAAAAATTCGACTTGTAGTTTCTTTTCCAGTAGCCAACGATTGTTGAATATAATTTGTTGAATGTCTTCTTTGATGAACGATCTAGATATGAACAAGAAAAAATAAAATAAAAGACTGTATGACAACAGAGTTTTTTCTGCCTTTTTTTTCTTCTTCTTCTTCTTCTTCTCTTCTTCATCATAGTGATTGCTTACAAGTTAAAGCAATCATCAACCACCTGTTATTCATACTCTTACTCTCAATTGCAGCTAATTTCATTATTTAAAAGACTTTCATATTACCGCCCTTCGTATAAAATGAACAATATAACAGAGCGATTATCACGTCAGGGAGTCTATACGATCAATAAGACACGCACAAAATGAAGATCTTTTTCTTTTTCTTGTTTGAAAATTTTATCGTAGAGAATTCTTACGTAAAAATATGTACAATTAATCGGTTGAGACGCATCTATAAAAAAAAAATCGAAGAGTCTTCTCTTATTAGCGTAAGAAATGTTCACTCAACGAAGACGACGACAACGACGACGATAAGAAGGGAAAAGGGTCATTTTTTTCTTCTTCTTTTTCTCGGCTATGCCTGAGTGAACATTAGCTATGGCCAGATCGAAAAACAACGATACTCATGTGAGACGAAAGAAGAAGAAGAAGAAGAAGAAGAAGAAAAATCTCCATAGATGTGTTATTGTTGTTAAATAATCAATTAAATTTATAAATGAAAAACGTAGGAGAGAAGGGACAAGTAAGATTTCATAATACGACATTAGTTATTACGCAAGAAAAATTGTTCATTTCAACCAACAACAAAAAAAGAAAAAGAAAGACTAGAATTCTCGTACTTACCATGTTAACATTCATCAATCATATGAACAAAATGACAAATCAATCATCACTCAATGATTATTCACACATTGGCTAATCTCTTCTTTTTCTTTTCTGTTCTTTTTCCGTACTAATTTCTATGGGAAAATTTTCTATTTCACCAATCAGAATACAATGAGAAAGAGAAGAAAATATAAATCATATTGATTGGTTAGAATTTCTAGTCTCGGAGATAATTCGGCGATGAAAAAAATACTGTCGATAGTTTTGAGCCCTTTGGAAAATGCAAGACTGTACAGTAAACGGAAAACTTCAAAATATAGTTCATATGTGATTTAACCGAACTCCGAGAAATGAATTAGGATGTTTTTTTTGAATAAACAAATAGAAGATCGCAAGATTTTCTTTGTATACGAATTTTCTTAGGAATGTAATATTTTTTCCTGTTTTGTCCCATGACTATCATATGATGCTCAACTTGTTCTCCGTTTTTTTTTTGTCTGTTGAATAGATATAGTGTTTTCTATTGACATGGTTCTCATTATTTTAGTTGTCTGCATGCCAGATCTTTTGCTAGTCTTGAATAATGATTAAACTAACTGAATATATGTGTATATATTTGATCTCAATCTTCTGACAGATACAGTTTTTTTTCTCCTTGTTCATTGACGACTGTTCCGCCCATATTAAGAGTAATTCACATCTCACTATATATATACACATACAATTTCCCTATTCAATTATCAGAAAAGCAAATCAACAAAGTGTAAACAGTGTCGATAATTCGCTATTCGATGTTAACTAAGCGAACATAACCGATAGAATGGAGTGAGAGAGTATTGTTCTTGTTAGAAGAGTCGCTTATACGTTCGATTCGTTAAATATAATGAAATTTTCGCATCCACATTTTTTTTCTTATACTAAAAAATCGAATAAATCAAATTAAGCGGAATTAATCTAATGTGAGTGCCATCATCGATCTTTCGATTTGTTGTTTGTTCGAACATGCATAAATACATATCTTCAATTATCCGATGAACAATATTAGACAATTGAGTAAGATTTTTTTTTGTTCGTTTCTTTATTTTTCGTAAAGACGACTTAACACGAAAATCAAAAGTCAACAAAACACAAATCGATGAATCTCTAAGAAAACAATCAGAGCTAACTCGTGTCCGCCTATGCTTGTTTTTTCTTGAATAAACAAACTCGTCAACAATGAAATTTGACTTCATAATATCTATAAACACTTACTGTTGATCGTTATTGTTTGTCATTATATATTTAGTTTTGAACTTTTTCTATATTTCTCAAATTCCAGACATTCTATTATACAACTTGATTGCAGAAGACAGTAGCCAGTAGAAGTGAATATCTATGTGACATTTTCAGAAGCAGCTCAAATTCTTCTCTTGTTCTCGTTTTTTTTTTTGAGTTTGTCCGTTCGTTTTTATTATCATAGGTTACTGCTCTGAATTTAATGACAATTGGATCTCAATTCTAGTCACACATATTCGTTTGGTTTTTATTATATAAACGAAAAAAGAAAACGCCATACACAAATATATAAGAAGAATAATAATCGTTCGAATACACAACAGTGGAAAAGAGAGAACCTCATAGGAATGTTTCACTATTGTGTAAATGAAAAAAACAGAAGAAGTTCTAAATCAATTCGTTGATCCTCGATTGCTGTAGGCAGCATAAGCACGTTGTGCTGCACTTGCTGTTGACGATGAAACAGTCGGAGGTGCGGATATAGTCACTGTCGATTGTTGATTTGTATTATTCTGAAAAATGAATAGAATTTAACAAAAAATTAAAAATAATATTCTACTATTGATAACTTAGTCGCCTCTTGTCAATGCTCTGATTTATCAACAAAACAAAAAAAAACGAGTCTATTATCAAATGAATTAATTGGTAGAGTTTAATAATAATAAAAAAAGCTTTTTTTCTTCTTCCTTTTAAGAATAAGAGTCACTTGAGTTGATACCTGGCAGTTGTATTGATGCGACGATGATGTATATAGTTGATCATTGAATAGATTGCAAGCATGTGTGTATGTATTACATATTGGTCTGCAACTGGCACTAATAAAATGAGGAGGATAGACGCAAGGTTATGCTCAACTTTCTTAACTTGATTATTTATTTTTCGCACTAAAGTTTCTTCATGAGAGAAAAAATTGATTTTCAGAATCGTTTTTGGTTAACCCAAATCCCAATAAGAAATTCTAATTTGTCTTAACTGAGAAACTTACAACAATAGCCATTAATCCCATACACCATCATCGATCGTTGTTCACACATACGACATTTTTAATTAAGATTTCATACATATATATGTGTGTGTGTCTGTGGTCAAGTCACTCCATGCTAGAAACAAGAATGAGGACGCAAAACTAACATATGACTAAGTTATTATTATGATTCTACAATTCAATATTCAATATAGATGTTTCTTTAAATCGTGTCTAGTATTAATATAGATAAATTACTCGGAAAAGCAAGAAGATATTCTATACGTATTCAGTACAAATTATTTGTTACTCACTGGAATTCCATTGTACATAGAAGTTGGAGCTTGCGGTTGAGATATAGCTGTTGATGCTGCTAAAGATGCAGCTAATTGCATTTGTGTATACCTAAAAGATAATTGAATATTGTCGAGTGGAGTAAACGAGAAATCTATACCATTGCTGATAGGCGGCAATTTGCGATGCGTCATAGCCAGCACTCATCCTAGAATAGAAAATAAATAGAATATGGCTAGTCTCCAGATAGAACTTCGATACGAACCATTGTTGCATCCATGCTTGTTGAGCGTCAGTCGTTGCTTTTGAAGGGTCCGTTGTTGATTGCGGTTTAAAACTTGTCTGTTGTTGGTTCCAAGCATTTTGTGTTGAAGCTGTTAGAGCAGCTGCTTGTTGCATAACTTGAAGTTGTTGTTGTTTAGCTTGTAGTTTTTGTTGAAATGCCTAACGAATGAAAATAATAGTAAAAACAAAATAGTTGCGAAAGATTTAATAGTGACTTACAATCAAATATTGTTGTTGTTCTGGTGTTATTTGTGTGCCTGCTTGTTGTGCAAGCATAGCTTGTTGTAATGCAGTTGTATATTGATTGTATTCTACATGATATTCGCTACTTGCTTTGGCATAAATGATAGCTGGATTGGTTTCTGTTTCAGGTGGCGGTTGAGGTGGAGGTTGCCATTGATTATAATCATTGGTGATTGGTGGATTTTTCTGAGATGTATCAACTTTATTTTGATTTTGATTTTCATTATCGGGATTCGACCAACCACCACCATTATTCCTTTGAAAATAAAAAACGTATGAATTTTATTTTCAATAAAAATCTATAAACAACGTCTATCATAGTCTTAGAAAATTTACCAATTATTATTTTGATTATCATTCCATGTCAAACGTTCTAATAGTTGACAACGTTGTTTGTAATCTTGAAAATTTTTCATTCTTGTATTTGCATCAAGCTCGTTAAGTGCTCCATTGGCATTTTGAAGTGGTACCGGTGCTGGACGTAGTTGACTAGAATCAAATGAACCTAAATCTATATTCATTAAATTCGGTGGCAAATCTTCATCATTGATCCAATTATCTGGACCATCGCCATCAAAATTGTCATAATTTTCAAAAACCGGATATTGAGGTACTAGTCACATAGAAACCAAGTGTGACATAGTAAAAGATTATTTTCTTAATTCAACTTACTTCCTACATTCGCTACCCATTTGTTAAAACCATTTTTTCGTCCAATTTGAAGCAATATCGGATGAACAACAGCGCCAGCATTATCCAAAATATATAAGAGTGCTGGAGCATGTTTAGCGTCTTCGTTTGAGAAAAATGTAAATGCTATATTACAATTTGTTATCCGTGTAATTCTATGTTTATAGACAGCATCGGACGTTGGATAATCGTAATTGATTACAAATCGAACATCATCAACATCTATCATTGAGAAATTTTGATTCGAATACAAAAGAAAAACATTGCGAATACTTACCAAAACTTCTTGAAGCAACATCCGTTGTAAGTAACAGTACATTTGAATTTTCACGAAATTCTATTGGACAAAGAGTCAAAAAACAAGTTGTTTTAAAATTATTGAAATAAAACCTTTAAGAACTTGATTTCGTATTTGTTGGCTTAATGAACCATGTAGAATTAAAGCTCTATATCCATTTTGTTCAAGTTCTTTGTTTAGACGATTCACTTTATCTCGTGTACGAACAAATATGATAGTTTTTCTCATTGGTGCATATGCACAGACTTCATCGAGAATTCGAAAAAGATTTTGTCGTTTTTGTTGTTCATTTGGACAAAAATCAACTATTTGCTCAACATTTAAATGTACAGAAGAATGCGGTTCAGATAAATAGCCAACACTAGCATGAACATAATTTGTTAGATAATGGTCAGCTAGAGTTTTTATGGATTTTTGTGAGCTAGTGGAAAATACACACATTTGAACTTGCTGTTGTTTATCATCGCTATTGCAACAGAAACAAAATATTCAGTCGCAAAATTTTGCGTAAGAAAAATCTCATGTATTTACTTACGTGGTCGGTTTGAAAATGTCGAGAATTTGTCTAATTTGTGTTTCAAAACCTAAATCAATCATTTTATCGGTTTCATCAAGTACAATAAATGTAGCGTGCTGAAGATCAATTAATTTTGTTTCTACGAGTTCTTGTAATCGATTTGGTATACATATATAAACGTTTTTTCCATCGTTAATTTCATTAATTTGCTTTTCATGGTCATCTCCATTTATAATACACATTGATTTGATATCAAATAGATTAAAATAGGGTTGAGCAACATTATTAATATTTTGTACCGATTCACGGGTTGATGTCAAAATAATCGCTATAGAAGTATCATTAGATTGTTTGCGAAGTTGAAATATAAGAGGAAGAATAAACTAAATTTTAATATTCAAAAAAATTATATAATTCTTTTTTCCCCTCAACTTACAGCAAGTGTTTTTCCACTTCCAGAGGTTGCTATACCAACAAGATCTCGATTTTGACTAAGAATAGGCCATGCTATAGACTGAATAGGAGTTGGTAGATCGAATTCATTTTCTTCGAATTCCTTTAGAATTTTCTCTATAAATAAGAATTCAAGATTTAGTAATGAAAACTCTTTTCCATAAATTTCTTTTTGGTTACCCGGAAAATGTGTGTCACTAAATTGTAACCATGGACGAATACAGGCTGCATTTTCAACTTTAACATGAAATTCTCCACAAAATGACTGTACTTCAACTAGCGTTGGTACTGTTCTCTGTTCGAAATTATCTTTTGATTGCTCTTTTTCATCAAGTAGAGGATTTTGTTTAGTTATTTCTGTTGATATTTCGTTGCTCATAATTCAAATAAAATCAATTATACAATAACAAAATAGTGCTTTCTACTTTCTAATTTGTTTTCATCATCATGCCATGAGAGATAGATAAACGCCTTCGTCTTCTATTGGCACAGAAAAGAACGAATCCATGACAACTTAAATTTTGACGGTTGAGGGCAGAGGTAGTCGAGTCATTCAGAATAGACCGTATAGGTAGGTGTAAACCATGAAGAAATACTAGAACTGCCTATTTGATAAAAGTGTTTCAACGCTATTTTTTTCCGTTTTATCCTATATTTTAAGCTTAGCAAATTTTTCTTTCATATCGAATTCGAAATGATGACAAATGGCGAAATTCAATCGTGATACTAGACTACTCGTCAGTGCAGTAAGCGAACTTAATCAAAAGAAAGCGCACAAACTAAATGAAGTGGAATGAACCGATCATGTTTTGATTATACGTTTGTTAAAGTTTATTTACTAATCTCCATACTCAAAACTATATAGATTTTATTGCATGATTTGATTTAGAATCTGAGAATATAAAACACGGATGCATAATTTATCTAGTCAAGTGTATAAGTACTGGCGACATCACAAGAGAAGAGGATTTTCTTGGCTAACAGATGTCTTATTTCGTATATTTTAACAGCCAATAATAAGAAAAAGAACAGGTTAATTATTACCTTCTTAAAAAAAGGCCCATTCAAACATTTTCATTCGTTACGATGGCTGAGGAGAAGAAACCGGTTGATGAGTGTGATGGTTTTCCGACGATTTTATTCTATGCTCGTGAAATGAAAAAGTTAGCTGAAGAAATTCAGTCATTTAGTAAAGACCATCGTATTGAGTTAGGTGATATCGAATGGAAAACGTTTGCTGATAGTTGGCCAAATATATTTATTCGTAATTCAGAACAAATACGTCATAGTCATGTTCTATTCTTAGCTTCGCTTCACAATCCACAGACAATATTTGAGCAGATCTCGCTTCTTTATCATCTACCTAAATATCTTTGTCGATCGTTGAAAGTTCTTTTACCCTATTTTCCAACGGGTACAATGGAACGTATTCAAATTCAAGGTGAAATTGCTACGGCTTTTTCTCTTGCGCAGATGATTTCGGCGATACCATTGACACGTACAGGTCCAAGCGAAATTGTTATATTCGATATTCATTCATTACAAAATCAATTTTATTTTTCATCAAATATTATTGTTCGACTTGAATCAACCGTTGAATTATTATTGGACGAATTAAAAAAAACAGAAAATCAAAATGAAAAATATGCTATTGCATTTCCTGATGATGGTGCTCATAAACGATTTGGCCACATGTTCGATGGACATAATTATCCCGTTGTGATTTGTAGTAAAATTCGTGAGGGTGATTCACGGAGTACAGCTATCAGAGAAGGTTTCTAATTTGAAATTCTTCGATAGACAATTATAAAACATTTCTTTTTTTTAAATTTTTAGGGAATCCAAAAGGTTATCATTGCATCATTATTGATGATTTAGTTCAATCCGGCGGTACACTCATTGAATGTGCCGGCGCAGTTCTAAGAAATGGTGCTGTTAATGTATCAGCTTTTGTCGGCCATGGAATATTTCCAAATGAAAGTTGGAAAAAATTTCTTCATTCAAACAATCCAATAGTTCGTTTTGATAAATTTTATTTAACAAATACATATCCAAATACAGAAATACTTATTGATAAACCTCCATTTAAAGTATTTTCTATAGCACAAATTTTATTTAATATATGCTTCAATTAAATTTATAATTGACTATTTTTATTTTGTAGTAAAAATAATTCCTTTTTAATAAATATAATTCTAGTATGTTCCGATTTGCATACTGTGGATAGTTTTACAGGCAAAAAAAAATGCATTATTCAATGATAATAGCTTTATTACCTTGTTTTTTCCTAACTAAGCATACTGAAACAATGGTTTCAGGTATTTTTAACTCATAACCTACTGATATTCGTTTTAACAAAAACAACGGAAAAAATTCGACTATAAATTCATACTCTCTACGAACTTTGTCTATCTACGTAAATGATAAGTACGACACCTTCGCTCTGACTCCATTCAGTTTTGTCATTCTATACGATGTGTGTGTGTGTGTGACTTGTTTTAACGCTGATGCATACGACCGTATATTATCTAGGAAAGAGGCGAAAAGGCGATGCTATTTTTACACATATTGCATGTCATCATAGACGATAAACAAAAAATACTATCAAAAGATTGTTGTTGCTTTTTAATTTTATTTTGAAAAATCTACAGTTGAAAGTAATTTGTGCATAAAGGGCAAAAAAAGACGGAAATGTTTAATCATTTGTAATTATAGATTATAATAATATTTTATGAATACGTTGTAATGGAGCAACTGGTGTTGAACTAATACAAATTGCCGTATGCAATTCATCTAAAAATAATGAATAACGAGTTGATGCATCGTCATTGGTATATAATATAGCCCATGCTTCATTTTCTTTAATTTCATCGCCAATATGTTTCAATAGACGAATACCAACGGAAAAATCAATTTTATCCGTTGATTTCAATCGACCACCGCCTTAAAAACGAAAATGAAGATTTTTAGTGCTGAAAAATATTTTCAATTACCAAGACGCTGAACAATGGTGCCCAGTTTGAATGAATCCATAGATTGAATAAAGCCGGATTGTGGTGCTAATGCTTTATGTTGAATAGGAGCAAGTTTTAAAATTGCACCAACAACTGTTTCATCATTACTAAGCAATTGGTCAGCGATTGTTTTCGATGCACCTTGACCAATAATCATATCATGAAATTTTTCTAACGCTGTACCATTTTTAAATGTTTCACGAATCATTTCTCGGCCTTCTTCAATCGTTTGAACTTTATTTGTAAGTACAAGAAGTCGACCGCCCGAAAACAAAGAACAGAAATTATTTGATGAGTTTTACTAAAATGTATTTACCTTGTTCACAAACTAATTCTTCTAAATCTTTTGAATGGCCCACTTTATATTTCATAAGATCTAATGATTCTTCAATTTCAATTGCATTACCAATACAAAATCCAATAGGATTATTCATTTCCGTTATATAACAACATGTTCTCATGCCGAGCATTTCCGATACTTTATGCAACCATTCAGCTAAGCTTTCTGCTTGTTCAGCTGTTTTCATAAATGCTGATACTCCGTATTTAACATCAAGTACAAGTGCATCAAGATCTTCAATGGATTTCTTCGATAATATCGACGATACAATCAATGCATTATGTGGTACCGTTGCTGTTACATCACGTATCGCATATAAATATCGATCAGCTGGATTGAGTTTAAGCGATTGAGAAAATATTCCACAGCCAACTGTTGATATTAACTCGACAATTTGCTCATCGCTTAATTGTGTTTTATAACCCGGTATAGATTCGAGTTTATCTAATGTGCCACCAGTGATGCCTAAACCTCGGCCGGCCATCATCGGTACTTTAAATTGACATGCAGCAAGTGCCGGTGCTAACGGTATACTTATTTTATCGCCGATACCGCCCGTTGAATGTTTATCAACAACTGAACCTCGATAGTTTGGCCATTTTAAACGCTCACCACTATCGCGCATACTCATCGTCATTGAACATATTTCTTTTTCGCTCATGCCTTAAGAAAACAAAATAAAAAAATATTCGTTAAATTTTTGTTGTTGAAATATCGTAAGATTAATTCGTACCTCGAATAAAAATAGCCATAAGCATAGCACCCACGTGACAATCTTGAACATCACCATTTGTTAGTCCAGATATGAACTGTTCAATTTCATCAGGGTTCAGTTCATGACCGTCACGTTTTTTAGCTATTAAATCCGGAATCGAAGCATAATTATTATTATGTATAACACCATTTGTTTTGGTACTCATCTTTGTTTGTCGTGTCTAATAAAGATATGACTTGCATTGTATTTTCATTGTATGTAGTATGTCCTTGAATATGTTTATCTTATCTTTTCGAGAGGAAGGAATGAAAATAATACTTAAGCGTAAAATATACAAACACACACTCTTCTGCAAAATGATCCAATGACTTATAAGAACAAATCTTATGTGTACATTGTTTTTCATTCGAGGATACAAGCCATTGTATTTCTCAGTAAATATTTAAATAAGATAGATCGTATATGTCGATTTCTTTTCTGTTTTTGTGTTACTCAACTTTATCATTATTTAGCTCTTATCTCTTTTGTTAATAAGTAAACAATCACTGAATGATTAATAAAATCAGACTTACTGGTTGATTAAACGAGGACAGTCGGCTCAATTCAAATCACAGTCGACAGTAGAACTAAATAGAACGTTATGAAGCACAAAAAAAAAGGAAAAACGAATACCATTTTTCTTTTAAAGCTTTGCTCAAGCTTGATTGGACAATACATATTGAATTTATTTTTATATGTAAAATCTTTACAATATTTCAGAAATAATAATAAAAAAAACACACACACAAACGAATTTTTTCACTGTTCTTTTTACAAAATTTATCGACGAGCACTATTCATACCACGGCCAGTTTGGATATCTCCATAGCCACCATTATTTGGATTTGATTTTCTATAATGATAAAAAACGTTAAAAGAAATTGATAGGAACTTAATCTGAGGATATGTAATAGATGTACAACGAAGATATTCATCATGTCAACTCATTCTATTTTGTATGGGTGTGTCTTTGATAAATAACCCAAAGGTAAAATATATTTCATGGTTGACTATGCTCAACCTACACAATAGGGAATAAATCATCAAAAAAAAAAGAATGCCCATAGACATACTCAAATTCGATGCATGTCTACAGCGAAGGTAAGATGTAGTTATCAAACTACGTAACGCACAAACACATCTATGGGTTAAAATTGCTTTGAAAGATAGAACTAAAAGTTTACTTTTTCTTTGTGCCTTTTTTCGATAGGATCGTACTAGAAATAAATAACAATGAAAATGAAAATGAAAATAGAGAATATGCATTTTGTATTTTACTTGGCATCTAATTCAATATGTTCTTCATCTTTCATAGCATTTTCAATAGCTGCTTGTATCATTGGTGAAACCATGGGACCTTCATAATCACGGGTTGTTCGACTTGGAAAATCAAGTTGAAGTAAAATCACATTTTCATCCTGAAATAATCAGTGGACATAAATCTATTTTGCAACACAATGATAAAATGCGTACTTTAAAACGAGCTATTTCAGGAATCGTAGTTCCTTGAGCATATACAGATGCTGAACGACGATCACCATTGGCTGATAATGGTCGAGAGGCCATTTGATCTCTGCGATAGATTGACAATGAAATAAATTTCTTTCTATTAAATAGATTATTTATATCTTACGCTTGTTTTGATAATTCTTTCAGAGTAAAACAATTTTGTTGTTCATCAAATTGAATTCGTTTTAATAATCGTTCACGTTCATCAACCGGAATAAAATTTTCAATAATAAGTTGAAATAATTTCGATTGCTTTTGAATTTCACGTTGTTCAGCTTCGAGCTCTTCTCGTGCTGATCGATGTTTTTCAATAATATCTTGTTTTTTCGCATCCAGTTTTTTAAGTGATTTCGATAATTTATCTCGTTTAGCACGTTTATCTTCAACTTCTTCTTTTATACTTGTATACGTTTCATTCATTGACTGTCGTTCTTCTTCGCGTTGTTGTAATTGTTGTTGCGCTTCACGATTACGACGTTCTACTTCAGCTATTTGACGTCTAAATCAAAAATTTCTCTGTGAAAAAAATAAACGAAATCAAAAATAGAAAAAAAAACCGAACCGTTTTTGTCGTAGACTTTGTTCTTGTTCACTCGTATGTGTGATGATATCTTTACCACCAGTAATCAGTTTCGATTCCATTTCTAGAATTTTATGTTGCATTTTACGACGATCGTCTTGTTCACGTTCGATTTCTTTCTTTTGTTCTTCGAGTTGTCGAAGCATTGCTTCACGTTCAGTTTCTACAATGAAAATAAAACCAGATTCGGACTTTTGTTAAGGGATTTCACGAACCATTGATATTCTTCTTATGCATAATTGTTCGTTTGTCCTCGTTTAATTTATCTTGTTGTTCTTTAAGAAATAGTTCTTCATCGTCTTGATCAGAAGCTTCATTGTCCATTTCAGTGCCATCGCGATTTTTATGCCGACGGGACTTTCGACCACCTTTACCTTTATTTTCCAGTCGATCTTTTAATCGAGCAATTTCTTCTTGGAATTTTCGTAGTAGAGCATCTTTGGGATCTTCATTAATACGCGGTTGATTCTTGATATTTTTCGCTCGATTTGCATAACTAATAACAAATAGAATTCGAAATTTTTTAGATCAAGCTAAGACAAAAAAAAGATAAAAGGATTCTTAGATGTTCACAGAAGTTAACCGTGATCTTTATTACCGAAGTGTAGTAAGAGATTCTTCGTAATTGTAATTCGCTGGTCCAACTGTAGCTATCATAATAGTTTTTGAATTACCACCGAGTGAATCTAGAAAATGATTTGTTTAGTTTCGAAAATGATTTTATTTATATTTTTTTACTTTGTAATAATCGAGTTAATTTTGAATCACGATAAGGAACATGTGAATTACCATCGACAAGTGCAGATATAACATTACCAAGTACAGAAAGTGATAGATTAATATTTGTTGCTTCTTTAAAACGATCACCCTAAATTCAATAAAAAAAAAATAAGCACAAGGTGTCAATGTAGGCAGTTATTATCTTACAGTTGATCCTGTTTTAGCTTGCCGTTCACTACCAGCTAAATCGACAAGATTTAATTTTCCAACGCGAATATGCGGTTTTCCATCAGCACCAATCTAATGATAATTTCGAATTTTGCTTTTTTCAAAAACAAAAACAAAACTCTTTTTATTACCTCACTGCTTTCAACAGTAATTACAAAAATAGCATGTGATCGTGAACTATGTTCATTCATATTTGTTGCTCTAATTGAAATAATCTGTTTATTAACAATAAAACCAGAAAGAAAAAGTAATCTACCCTGTTGATCGATTTAAATTTCCTGTTGTCATAACATGTTCGATTTCTGGAGAGTTTTTCGTAATAAATGAACTTAGATCATGAACATGTACACCTTCTTTTGGATGTTCTTGTAATTGTAAACGTTTATTTTGATCTCGTGATAGTAAATCACGAATACTTTCCTAGATTGGAAAAAGGTTTTTCTTGTCTCTAACATGTTCGCATAAGAATTTATTTACATTATATATTTCTAAATAGGAAGCTCGAACAAGAAATTGTCTTGAAGTACTACGTGATATTGAATCAAATATATGTGCAAATGATGATGGAATAATACCACGTAAATCCGGTTGTGAACGAATACCTAAATGAAAGTATTTTGATTGATTTCATAGAAAAAATATCTATCGACCTTGGTGTACCTTCCATTGTAAATGTTTTTCCTGTTCCAGTTTGGCCGTAAGCAAATATAGTACCATTAAAACCTTCCAGCACGAAATCCACCAGTGCGCGTGCAGTTTGTTCATAGACATCTTTTTGTTTTGAACTAAATAAAATAAAATAAAACAGAACTGTTAGCGAAAATTCTCATATTATTAATTAGTTGTAATGCATATTAAGTTCAACCTACTTCCAATCGTAAACATAATCAAAATAGAAATTATGCACATCTTCTCCACTACTGCTCATTCGTTGTGAACCTTCATTTCTTGGACGTCGAAGTGTTACTTGTTTTCGTTGTCCATCAATATCAACAACTCTAATAGGATATAGATTAGAATAGATTTATTTGCTAATTCGCATTAAAATGAAACCTTTCACAGCCACTATCTTGTTCTTTCTCGCTCATCGGTCGACATCGAACAACAACTTGAACGGATTCATCTTTTCCACCTTTATTCGATGCAGTTGATGGACGAGGCTAATGAATGTAATGCTATACATAATCTTATAATTAAATTAAAACTATTCTTACCATTGTTTAGATATTTTTAGAGAGAGAAAAATGAAATTGCACAGTTAAGCATTCCTTCTTGACGACAACATTGGATGTAACTAGGCAAATTTTATTGGTTCAAAAAGTAACCAGTGTACAATCGCATTGCGCGATCTTATTAATAAGAATAAAGTAAAAGTTTTGCTTCATAAAATTATTAATCAATAATTATTTCGATGCTTATTATTAATCTAATTCAATACTCAATTCAATATTGAAATGCAAAACAGCCAATCAAGACAATTCAATGAGTCGGTCATGATTGCACGATTGACTTTTTTCATCCTTTTCTTTTCATCCTACTTTCTGATGCAAAATGGATCAACCTAAAAAATGATGCAATGAATCATCAATTAATATTTAAGCATTTATCTAGTTTTATTTTATTTTTATTCTCTTAGATGGCATCAAGTGGTTCTAATCAACGGACCGATGAAAATTCAAAACCTTCTGAAGGTGAAAATAACCAACAAGCTGTTGCCGGTGCCGGTGAAGGACCACCGAAAACAGCAAAGCAATTGGCAAAAGAAGCTGAAAAAGCCGAAAAATTAAGAAAATTTGAAGAAAAACAAAAAGCAAAAGCATTAGCTGACGAACAGGTTTTTATTCATTATAATTTTATGTAGAAAAATGCAGATGTATTATTTTTTGTAGAAAAAAGCGAAAGAATTAGCTGAAGGTGGTTCCAAGAAGAAAGCCGTCACGTGTGACATTACTGAGTATACCTCTCCGACAGGTGACGGTGAGAAAAAAGGTAACCAAAAGCAAAAAAGAATAAATCAATGAATGAAATTCAATACCGTTTCTATTTTTAGATATTCATTGTGAATTGCCAAAAGCTTATAGTCCAAAATATGTCGAAGCAGTTTGGTATCATTGGTGGGAGAAAGAAGGCTTTTTTCGTCCCGAATATTACGATGAACATCCACCATCGAATGCTTCAACGCCACGAAAATCGTTTTCTATGGTTATTCCACCACCGAATGTTACTGGTTATCTTCATTTAGGTCATGCTATTATGTGTACACTTGAAGATACAATTTCACGTTGGCATCGTATGTGTGGTGAAAGTGTTCTTTGGGTTCCCGGATGTGATCATGCTGGTATAGCAACACAAGTTGTCGTCGAAAAAAAACTAATGCGTGAACAAAATTTATCCAGGCTTGATTTAGGACGAGAACGATTTTTGGAAGAAGCTTGGAAATGGAAAAATGAAAAGGGTTTGTTGTTTCCTTGTTAAAAAGATTCTCCTATGATCTAGTAATGCTTTTTTTTTAATGAATAGGTGATCATATCTATGAACAAATAAAAGCGTTGGGTTCTTCATGTGATTGGTCACGTAAAGTGTTCACTCTGGATAAAGGCATGTCCTATGCTGTTGAAGAAGCTTTTATTCGTCTGCATGAAAAAAAACTAATCTATCGTTCAACACGATTAGTTAATTGGTCTTGTACACTTAAATCAGCCATATCTGATATCGAAGTAAAACACACTGAATTCGTTTTTTAAGAAATAAAATCTTTTTTTAGGTCGAAAAAACTGAATTAAAAGGTCGAACATTAATTCGTGTACCTGGTTATGAAGAGCCAGTTGAATTCGGAATGTTGATTTATTTTGCTTATCCAGTTGAAGATTCAAGTAAATATCAGAATTCTATAACTACGTAGTTCGCAAAATGATTTTTTTTCCTTCTTATAGAGGAGGAAATTATTGTTGCAACAACTCGTCTTGAAACAATGCTTGGTGATACAGCAGTTGTTGTTCACCCGGACGATGAACGTTATAAACATCTACATGGTAAATATGTTCAACATCCATTTCTGCCACGTCGTTTACCAATTTTAACCGATACAATGGTTGATCCAGCGTTCGGTTCGGGCGCAGTTAAAGTTACACCAGCACATGATCCAAATGATTTCGAATGTGGACGTCGACTCTCCTTACCATTTATAACATGTATTAATGATGATGGTCTAATGTCATCGGAATGTGGTCCCTATGCTGGTAAACTACGTTTTGATGTTCGACGTCAACTTTTAAGTGACTTGAAAGAACGTGGTCTCTATCGTGATGCAAAAGAAAACGAAATGGTTATACCAATATGTAGTCGAAGTAAAGATATTATTGAACCTTTACTTAAACCACAATGGTATGTTAACTGTAAAACAATGGCACAACGCTCAATTGATGCTGTTCGATCGAAACAATTGAAAATTTTACCCACTATATTTGAACCTGTTTGGTACAAATGGTTAGAAGACACACGTGATTGGTGTATATCACGACAATTGTGGTGGGGTCATCGAATACCATCTTATTTTGTTAGTTCAGATGAAATACCGGCAGGAAGTGACGTTGATGATCAATATTGGATTAGTGCTCATACATCTGAGGAAGCACTTGAAAAAGCAGCTCAACGGTTTAATATCCCAAAAGATAAAATTCGCTTAAAACAAGGTAATGCCTTTAGAACGATGTTCGAAAGTAATGCTCTAAGTTTTGTTTTTCTATTCAATAGATGAAGATGTTCTCGATACATGGTTTTCATCGGGTATTTTTCCATTTTCATCTTTTGGTTGGCCCATGGAAACCGATGATTTAAAACGATTCTTTCCAACGACATTACTGGAAACAGGTCATGATATACTTTTCTTTTGGGTCGCACGTATGGTTATGATGTCATTAGAATTAACCGATCGTTTACCGTTCACCGAAATTTATTTACATGCTCTTATTCGTGATGCACATGGACGTAAAATGTCGAAAAGTTTGGGTAATGTTATTGATCCAATTGACGTGATTCATGGAATACCGCTTGATAAACTTCAAGAATTATTAAAAAGTTCTAATCTTGACCCGAAAGAATATGAACGTGCACGACAAGGACAACAAGAGGATTATCCAAATGGTATTCCAGAATGTGGCACAGATGCATTGCGGTTTGCTTTTTGTGCATATGCTAATCAAGGTTAATTTAGTATTGCTAATAATTCTATTTAATCCAATTTGTTTTGTTTAGGTCGAGATATCAACTTAGATGTTTTACGTGTTAAAGGTTATCGACATTTTTGTAATAAACTTTGGAATGCTATTCGGTTTGCAATGTCGAAAAACTTAGATATTAACGCTCCGAATTGTTTTGAACCGCCAGCAGAATTTAAAGTAATAACACGAAATATCCGAACATAGTTCCGTTAAAATGGCATTTTATTTCTAGTTTACTGGCGCGGAAACACCATGTGATTTATGGATTTTAAGTCGATTGAGTTATGCTATTGAACAATGCGAAACTGGCTTCAATAATTATCTATTTCCTCAAGTTACAACAGCTATTTATAATTTTTGGCTCTATGACTTATGCGATATCTATATTGAATATGTTAAAAAAGATTTATATGCCAAAGATCCAGATTTAAAACGACAAGAAACTATTAAATTAATTTTATATACATGCCTAGATAATGGTTTAAGATTGATTGCACCTATTATGCCTTTTGTTTCCGAGGAACTCTATCAACGTCTGCCAAAACCCAATAAAGGACTCAATGTACCACCTAGTCTGTGCGTCACACCCTATCCGCAAGCAAGTCAAGTAAATATTTTAACCTCTTTTGCGTATTTTTTCTTCAAAATGATTTCTTTTCATATAGTTTAAAAAATATCGTAATGAAAATCTTGAAGCCAGTGTTGCAACTGTTGACGAAGCAATGAATAAAATTCGTTCATATCGTTCGGCACAAAAGATTGTTTCCAAAGAAAAAGATGATCGTAAGTAGCACGCATCCTAAAAATAAAGCAAAGAACTAAAAATTGAATGAATGGATTCGTTTTTTTTTCTGCTTTAGTTTATATTCGAGCTTCGCCATCAGCATCCTTACTTTTTTCTGAATATGCCGATCTGATTCAGCCACTTGCTAATATTAATAATATACAATTCCTCAAAGATGAACCAACAGCTGATCAAACTGAATACACAAGCATTGCTACAACAATGGATTATACGCTCTATTTTAAATCGAAATGATGATTTGAATTTCTTTGTTTTTTTCTTCACGCTTGACCATTGTTATCTTAATGATTTTGTTTGCTAAAAAGAAAATCAATCTAATAAACAGTATCATTGATTGTTCTTGACAAGAAAAAGAAATCCTCTTTTAGATAAAAAAAAAAAAAGAAGAAGCATGAGTTCAAAAGAAGAGCATGAAAGTTCGGTTTTATTTCATCGAGTTAGTCATCCGTTGAATGAACATTCGAAACTAACCGAAGAACAATTAAATAAATATGAAACATGGAAAACTCAACCAGCCATGGCACAAATAAAACTTGAGTATGTGTTTCAATAGAGTAATCAACAATTTATATATTGACTTTTATTTCAAAAAAAACCAAAGGTTCATTGATTTCGATCACGAAGTTAGATTAAGTATTGAACATTTAAATGAAAACGATAAAAAAATAGCTGCAGAAACCAATAACAGTGAAACAAATGATTCTACAGAACCTAAAAAAAAGAAATTTAAAGTAAGTCTTTTGTATAATTTTTACAATAATTTAATGTGCTATCATCTCCGGCTAGGGTCAAAATCGTAAACATTTAGAAATCAATGCAAAATCTTCAACTGCCAATGAAAACAATCATCATTTATGTTTTTTTGTAGTACGCGGTGGACTTGATAAATGTCCATATAAATCCAGTTGCAAACATTCTCATGATTTAAGTAATTATCTCACACAACGACCCGCTGATTTCGATAAGAATTGTTATATGTTTGATGTTTATGGTCAATGTTTCTACGGTATCTTATGTCGTTTCGGCCAATCTCATATTGATCCAATCACTGGTCACAATAAGATTGTTGCTCGTTTAAATCAAACTTATGTTGAATCCTTAAACAAATATCCTCCTTTGCTCAAACATTTTTTACGAAGAAAAAAATATGATTATAAATTATCGGATCATTTAACTAAAATAGCAAATAAACTAATAACGAAAGTTAATGTTGCTAAAAGAAATAATCCAACGGCTGCAGATGAAAATCAAGATGATAAAGAAAAAGAAGATCGATCTTTAGTAGATATCTATTATTCAGCACTTCCAGTGAATAAAAATGCTAAAAATAACCAGGCAAATATTTATCTGTTGTCGATAAATTTTAACCAAATAAAAATGATTCTATTAAATATTTTAGCCGGATGAAACTGAAATTCTTCCACCAGACGTTGATGCCATTGACGATGATCAACAAGCACCACAAGTATCCCGCCCAATACCATTTCGAACTCTGGGTACAATCACCGATGTAGATATGATTCGTTTAAAACCTCGTGAAAAAGTTCGCATTGATTTTAATCGTCGTCTTTATCTTGCACCATTAACAACAGTTGGCAATTTACCATTTCGACGTATATGCAAAGAATATGGTTGTGAAATAACTTGCGGTGAAATGGCAATGACAACATCGTTACTTCAAGGGCAAATGTCCGAATTTGCGTTGTTACGTCGTCATCCAAGTGAAACAATATTCGGCGTACAACTTTGTGGTTCATTTGTTGATACAATGACACGAACCGTTCAATTACTTGAAGAAAATTTTGATTATGATTTTATTGACTTAAATTGTGCATGTCCAATTGATCTCGTCTATAAGAAAGGTGCCGGTTGTGCATTGACACGGCGAACAATTGATTTTGAACGTATATGTCGTTCGGTATCGTGTCTTTCTACACGTCCAATAACAATTAAATTACGTACAGGAATCATGACTGGTGAAAATAATGCACATGAAATTGTTTCATTAGCTAAATCATGGAAATCCGATTATGATGATAATCATGTTGTTGATCTGTTTACTTTACATGGCCGATCGAAAGAAATGCGTTATTCCAAAAGTGCCGATTGGAATTATGTTGATGAATGTGCAAAACTGTCAAATCCCATTCCATTCTATGGTGTTGGCGATATTTATGCATTTGAAGATTATTATAAACGATTAGACGAAACCAGTGTTAGTGGTTGTATGATAGCACGTGGTGCTTTAATTAAACCATGGTTATTTACTGAAATAAAAGAACAACGTACATGGGACATATCGGCTGGTGAACGTTTTGATATGTTAAAACGTTATACAAATTATGGATTAGAACATTGGGGTTCGGATCAATCTGGTGTAGAAAAAACTCGACGATTTTTACTTGAATGGTTCTCATTTCTTTATCGTTATATACCTGTTGGTTTACTTGAACGTCTTCCGCATCGATTAAACGAACGACCACCATATTTCTTTGGTCGAAATGATCTTGGTAATTGAATAGAAAATTTGTTTTTCTTTCTCTAATTTGTTTTTATTTCTAGAAACATTGATGTCATCAAAACTCTGTTCTGATTGGGTGAAATTAACTGAACTTTTATTAGGAAAAGTTTCATCAGATTTTCACTTTCTACCAAAACATAAAGCAAATGCTTATGGATAAATAAAACATATAGTATTATTTGTTGTTTTTTAATACTTGTTTTTGATAAATAAAACATTCAATAATCCATAATAAAATGGACATAAAAAAAATCTTGTTTTTTTTAAATGATGAGTTTTATACTGTTGAATACTATCGTCTTTTTCTGGATGAAAAATGAAATTTCATCAATATTTTTTAACAAAGAAAAAGGAGAAATCGAACTTAGAACTTAAAAGTGAAACGTTCGATCTACTGTAATATGTATGTATGTAAATTGAAAGAAAAATTACACTGATAAATTCAAGTCTTTCTATTATCCGAAAGAATTTATTTATTTAATCATCGCATAAAGATACAATGAAATATTCGATCGTTCGCACCCATTTCAAATCACGCAGAGGTAAATATAAACGAGAATACTTCATTTCGCACGATTTTCATTGAACAAGTTTTTTTTTCTTTCACATCACTACTCATATAATTTGAGTGTAAGTGTAAAAACGAAACATTAAGTGATGCTACAACAGGCTTGTCCTTTGGCAAAGTAAATCTAACATAACCTAATGCACCGAATGATGTAATAAATATCATGAATATATAATTAGTATGTATCTTTAATTTTTCTTCTAAATGACGACAATATCCGCATCCAACATACCCAATAAAATGATGAGTTTAACGCCATCTTATATATACTTCAAGGAAAAATTGACAAGAGTGTGTGTGGCTTGTGAGAATATCAACACCCACACCGAATATACGTATATCCATAGGAATGGATAACAATATTTTAGGCAATACATCCAATGACCAAATCATGACTCTATTTATTTACAACGAAAAATCCAGTTCACTATTTGATAATAGTGATAAGAATAAAAAGAGGCCACAGAGAACAAAAGCCAAGATAAATAATTTGTTGACGAAAAAAAAAGCAATATCAATCAACTGAACAGAAACAGTTATAAAGATACATAGACAACAAATTCGACCTAATGATCAATGAATATATTGCTGAGCTAGAAGCTTCCTTTAAATTTCAAAAAGCAGTAGTTTACCAGCTAATTCATTTTCTTCGTGTCCAGCAGGTTTCCTCTTCCTAGAATGCAGCAAATAAAAGAAAATCAAATCAAAATTGCAGTATTTATTATTTAAAAAATGTTGCATAACGATATTTATTTCAGTAGACGAATCAAGATTGTGTGAACTTGTTGATATTCACCTTGAAAACTATCTACCATCTCATATTCGGTCGAATACATCATCACATGCCTCAAGCTAAAGATGCATTCGACTCCTCTCTCTTTTCAAGAATAGTTACACCGAGAAGTGAGTAGGGTCAATATGGACGTATTCTATTCGACTTACAAATTCTTTCGCTTTGTCTTTTAACAACATTAAACACATTTTAATTAATTTAAAAAAGGCTACAGTTCCTTTGAAAAAGTCCTGATGTTCACTGTAATTATTTCCTTCATCCTATGAGTCTCAATTATTCGAGCAACTACATCAAATTTAGTGTTTTGTCAAATTCCATGCATAAAGACATTCGAATAAGAAGAATCTATCTGTTTCATATCAGGAAACAAAAGTAATGCTACAGGGATGCAGAAGTTTCATGAAATCTTTCGATGACCAATGAGATTCTATTAATCCTTTCCAGATCAGAGATGAGAACAGGGCAGGATGGTCCTGGTGTCCTGTCCTGCTGCTCTCCAGGACCAAGATAGCTAGCAAGACAAGGCAAGTGTAAGACAGAAAATCTTGTCCTGTGCTAGTTTCTCTTCCAGACGGCTATTCAAAAAACACTATACCTCCATAGAGAAAAATCTTTCTTTTTGAATACGTGCGATTGAAAAGAGTTAAACATGGTAGGCTTTGTTTTTCCACGAAATTTTACGAATCCTTCCAGAAATAAATAAAGCTTACACTATTATGTTGAAGAATTTAAAGACTTCAAAAATGTGATACAGTTGTAGTATCCAGTGTCGCTGTTAAATTTTGAAAAGTACTAATTCCTTTGTTCAGAATATTTGGTAGAGCAGAGGACATGTTATGTGATCAACTTACATATCTGTAATAATCACATTGGATATGAACTCAAGTAACATAAAATTGTTTTTAAATGTAAATAGATTAAAATCAATACTTTTAACTAATGAATGAAGTACATATATTGTTCTGATTATTCAAAAGTAATTTCTCTTTCTGAAATGATATCAACATCTTACAAGATCACTTATTTTTACACTTTTTCGATAAAAATGAATGGATTACTACTAAAAATATGATAGCTCAATTGGCGTTGATTATACTTTGTCATTCATACTTCTCTGCCATATCAAAAAAGATTTCTTTAAAAAAGATTTTATTTGCAAGTCAGAATGAACTGTAACTTCAATTTAAATCTTTTCTCAATTATTTTAATTTTCGATCTCTTCAACAAAAAAAGAAACTTCTATAGATCAAATGTCAGTCATCGCAGATCAATTTAGAAATCTTGTTGAGCGTATTTCAACAATACGATTATTAAAATGGATCAATCTTTATTATTATTAGTTTATGTCTATGTTAACTACTTACTAAGAAATGGAATAATATAGTTTTCATACAAGAGCCGACACTACCCATGTTTTTCTGCATCTTTTTGTTCACCTAAAACAAAGAATCTTCATTCGTATATTAAAGTAAATGATTTTTTTCATAAATAGTTTTAATCTCAAAAAATGTTTGAATTGGCGCATATTGGGATACTCCACTCAAAATAAACCTATTATTATTTTTTTCTCAATTGGAAATGAAAAGTCTCCAATAATTAAAATATATAAGTAATAAATAAAATGTGTTTCTTTACATTTCCAAATAATAATTTTGTAAACAGAAATCTCTCGTATTCGATCATACCAGAAATCACCAGTTACGACAGGACATAAAGAAATTTTTTTTTCGATATCCACCAGGTCCATATTGACATCAGGTGCAATATTAAAGTGAGTTTTAACCTTAACCCAGGTGAATCAATCCGATACCGAATTCCATCGGATTCTATGGGATCCTACCATCCGACGAAATCCCGTTTGATTCCTGATTGAGGAATCAATGTCGAATCCGACAGTCGTATTTCCAATGATATCCGATTGTCGGAACCAATGAAATCCGAAGCATTCCAGTTCCGATTGACGGTTACTGTCGGATTTTATTAGCTTCCGACATTAGGATCCGATATCGATTCCGGAGCCAGGAATCCGACGATAATCCGATAGTTTCCTTGCGCCTTCCGAAGAGCTCCGTCAGATTCCAATAGGAACCGATCGGAACTCATCGGATCCTAGGCTAGGATTGATTCTCCTGGGAATAAGAAACTGATCAAGTGGAATAGGTTCACCAACATAAAATATTTGTTCTTCGGATTGATAAACAAATTTGACTTCTTTCATATTGTCGGAGACCATTTGGAAATCTAGAGGGCACCAACAGATTCAAAAAAAACTAATCGAAAAATATTATCTAAAAAAGAAAAAAACGATTCATCAAAATTGAAAATTTTTATAATCAGTTAGTGTAAATTAAATTCACTTCTAAACGGATCTTCGTAACATTGAAAGAATATATTGTGTGTATGTGTATGTATAAATCATAGAAGTGTATGTAGTTTATCATTGCGTATTTACACCAATCATGTTTCATTCCACACTATACCTATTTCTTTCCATTTGTCGTGTTCTTTATAATTGTCTTGCCGAAATATTTAAAATTATGAATGAAAACGTTCATGTATAGATAAAAACGAGAACAAAAATCGACAAAGATTGGAACGAAAACAATTTCTCAGGTGCATTTCCATTTACTTCTAAATAACTTTCAGGATTTTAGTTAAAATATGTGATTATAATATCTAATATCATCAAAATTATCGAAGATATTTCTTGTAGGTAATTAAATATTATTTCAGAATAATAAATATCTGAATAAAAAATTGATTTGTTTTTAACAAATAACAATCATAATAATGATGCTTTTGTTCATCGAATTCTTCAATGTAAAATTATCAATGAAGCTTTATTAAAAAGTTTAAAAAATATTGCATTTTAAGTTCAATTCAACGTTATAGAATTGGTTTAGCATTATTTGATTGGAATTATTTTGATGAACATCGTCTTGTTTTACATAGTGGAAAAGAATATTTCGATTATGTTATTCCATCAAAATCAAATGTTGTATCAATTATTTTTTTTTTGAATTATTGGAATTAATAATAAAAACATTAATTTAGTCTTTTTCTAAACTCTACATAGATGATCTGCAATACGATTAACTAATTTTTCACAAATGATAGATAGATGTTATTTTTTTGTTCAATTCGTAAATCCTTCGCTTAAAAATTCTAACATAACTATTTATTTGAAACAGAAAAAGAGTTCACAGATATGAAAAGAAATATTTTTTTTTATAAAATTCCATTTGTGAAAGCCAGACAAAATAAAAATACAATATTTAGATGTAAATTGAAATTCGGTATTGGAAATAAGAATAAGCGAGATTATTTTAATGAAAATATTCGTAAATACAACAAAATTATGTTTTGAGTTCATTATATAAAAGAGCATTTCGAATTCTTCGTTGAGTTTTTAT